GTGTGTGTGTGTGTGTGTGTGTGTGTGTGTTATACTCAAGCATACAGACTTCATGGGCGTGTACTCACTTGTCCTATAGCTTTGGAGATGAGAGCGAGCTCAGTGGGCTGGTAGACGGAACTACGCAGCTGCCCGGTGTAGCCGCTGTACGGAGACACAGGTTTGATCCCTGTGATGGACAGAGACATGTTGTTATTGTGTCAACTACAAACTCACACACCAATAAATCACCATGTCAAGACCATGGGACACTTCCTGTCCGCTGTCCTGTTCGTCCCCGACCGATGGAGGGAGATAACGCTGTCGCACTTTGAGCCTCACAACATCAAACATCCTTCCGCTGGATGAAAGCGTTCGCCACACCTCTGTCGCCACGGAGACAGAGCAAACACAGGGCGTGATGTTTCCGTCGGGAGGAGAGAGGGCGCGGTGCGGCGGGAGCGTTTGTTCTGTGATGCAGCGACTAACGATGAATCTAGACACTGATTAACAGGAGTGACTCAGAGGACGCGTTCACAGAGCTGGAGGTTTGCTGGGAAGAGAACAGACGTGTAGTAAACATGTGTTTGTTCTCTCGTGTTGATACTTTGAATTATTCCTCGTCATTACCGAGTCGTCCTCAAACTCTTCGACAATATTCTGCCACTTCCTGTGGTGCAGAGAGAGAAAACTTTGTGTTCATCCTACCTGGTTTATCTGCACTGACAGGAAGCGGTTCTATGAATGTTGTTGCCGTGACGCTCTTGCTACACTCATGACTGTAAGAAATGAAATATTAAAGTGATCCTGCGTTGACCTGAGGTTTGACCCAGATGTCGACCACTGCTGCAGTTCATCTGAGGACGTGAAGAAGATTTAACTCGCTCGATATTATCGACGCTCGTCGCCGTGTGAGACTGAAGCGACAGAACGAGACACTTCTGCTCACGTCAGGTTTTTCCTGCAGCATCAGATCCTGTTCAGCTCAACAGCAGCTGATCAAATTCTGTCCAGTCATCACACTAAATGCAAAAACAACGTGCGGAGAACATGAACGTTTCTGTATTTGGTCTGTGCTGATGGTTTTTTTGTGGGATTCAAACTTTAACGATGTCTCTGTGGATGACGAGTTCAGTGCAAACAGCTCAGTGTGGACACAGTGTGCGTCTCAGCTCCCCTGACAAAAACCACATGATGCAACTCCCACTGGATTTCCTCTTGAACCAAAAAACAGCAGGAAAGTGAGGGAACGTCCCTCGAAGCGACGATGTGTCCGTGTGAACAACAGAACGCTTCTTTTAAACGACTTTAAGTGGCCGAATACGTTTTAACAACATCGACGTGAATAAAAGATTCAATTTAAAGAATCAAACTAACGAAGGAATATTTCAAAATAAAGTCAGTTCATCTGGTGAATCTTCATGATTGACAGCTGAGGCAGGATCTCGATCCTGCGGCTCCACAACTCGATTGAATGGCGTCACCATTGCAAGATGGCCGCCTCAATATCTGAGATGTTTTGTCCTCAGTTTTGTCCAGTGGGAGACACATGGTGCGTCTTACTTTAGAGTCTGTGTGATTAACAACCTTTTTAAAGAACAGGACAGAGAAACAGAAACTAAAGTAACACTGAGCTTCTTCCTGCAGATTCACTTTGAATTGAAACCGAGACTTCTTCTACAAACCAACTCTTGTTTCTCTTCAGCTCACAGAGTTTGAGCTGTGAAGCTCCAAATGAAACTCAGCCTGTAAATACCTTGGTTGGGCTCGTCCATGGAGAACGCCTTGTTCTCCATGAACATGCTCTGAGCGCTCTGCTCCTTCAGGATGGTCTCGTAGCCGGCTCCCTGGTTGGGGAACATCTCGTCTCCGTGGCTCTGCTGACTCTCGTCATCACTGGTCACACAGCAGATTTCAGGGATGGTGTAGATGATGAGGAACACCCAGGCGTTTGCCACCAAGGCAATGCTCAAGGTGGGGTCGTCCCACGTTGGCCCCCCGTGCCTGTTGTTGCCGTAGACGTACATAACGATCCACGCCACCCAGATGCCCACAGAGAACAGGCTGGTGAGGAGGACGCAGGCACCTTCCTTCTTCCACCGGTTGTGTTTGCCCGCCATGACGGCCAGACTCGCCACCACCACCGCCAGGATTAAGGCCATCACGTAGATCAGCGCCATGACAAAGTCCTGGTTGGCGATGTTGCAGGGCGTAGCTGTGGCTCCGCTGCTTTCAGCTGTGACGTTGAGCAGCAGCAGCGGATGGCGCACCACTGTGATGATCAGCCACTCCGTGTTAATGACCACCTCCACCAGCCACAGCCCCATCGCCCCCAGACATAAAACCCAAGCCCGGGGCCCACTGTCCCGCCTGGCAAGGATGTTCAGCCTCACGCTCAGCATCAGGAGGCAGGCGAAGCAGCCGCCGAACAGCACGCCGAACAGGAACCTCCGGGAGGCGCACGTGGAGAAGTCCTTTCCCACGATGAAGGCGAAGGTGAGGCAGAAGAGCCCGCCAGTGCAGACCAGGAAGCAGGCGTGAAGAGCCACCGAGCTCTTGCGGGCCTTGTCCTTTATGAAGGGCAGACTGGCCAGCAGCGAGATGAAGAGCACGAAGGAGAAGACGACGCCGGCCGCCGCCAAGGCCTCCAGCACGATCCCCCACACGGCACTGAGGTCACACAGGTTGTAATAGAGGGAGTCCACGTCCGGGCCGCAGCCCTGAGGCGTGTTGTTGGCCGCCATCGGGACACGTTTCTCTGGGATCCTCACAGAACCTGATGAGACGGACAAATGATGAAAGATGTCAAGTTTAAATGTGTCACTGATGAAGGATCAGGACGTCGTCGACACCCAATCGAGCAAATATCACGCTCTGATGAGTCAGGAACCTGTTCACACAGCAAATATGAAATAAAAGGTGACTTCAGTGTTACTCAGAAACGGTGGCGACATGAACGACCCAAAATAAATCACAGGAATGTCAAACTCTGGACTCTGACGTTAATCATTGACACGACGTGGGGACAAATATTAATCCTGTACATTTCACACTGAGGCGTGCTTTAAACCTGAGGGACAGAACATTTCCACTGTGAATAATGTCAATCTAAATATGTGTCCTTTCTTTCAGAGTTTCCTTTGTGCGTCTTTGTCTCTGTCAGATCTCGTTACATACACTCGGGGACAGACTCTGCATCAAATCGATTTCAGTGGAGTTGGACGCTCTGTCCTTCTAAGTCCTCAGATTCAAAGTCAAGTACAGAGCAGAAAAAAGAAAATATGCACAAGGCAAAAGTTTGATTTTCAAATATGTCACGTATGAGATTCAGATTCACGTCAACAAGCTGAAGATGAAGATTAGACCGAGGACACAACACGAAGAGAAGTCTGGATTAACAACCAGGAGCCAAACGATCTCAGGTTCACTCTGAACTGAAAAATTATCTTTTGTGAACTGAAATACTAAAATATTCCAACTTACTACTTATTACTAGTTTCTACCACATGTACTTTTACATGTCATCTATGTATTTTGTTTTAATGTTGTGTAAACTAAACTAATCTAATCTAAACTTGAGTTAAACTCCAGTTTTAATAAACAAACTCTTCTTGATCAGTATTCAAATGTAACATGAAGAAACACGGAGTCTCCATAGCAACACATTTCATCACCAGTTTTATTATCACATGATGCAAATAGTGTATGAACGCAAATTATTGGTGCTTTTACTGAAACACACACAGGAGCTACTGTTGCTGCAGGAAATCTGAATTTTAACATTATCACGAGTCTGGATAATTTAAATTCAACAACAAAACTCCACGTTTGGTTTAAGAAACTCAGATTAAGTTAATTTATTTATGTTTTTGTTTCATTTGAAGAGAAGCTGCTGATCTGGTCTCACGTCTACATCATAGATGACGACATGTAGATGAACATCTTAACGACTCTGAGTCTCCACGTCTCTAAACACACAAACACTTCGTGCATGAGGTCACTGACTAAACTTCTATTTGTGATAGAGCCGAGTGTGATGTGTGTTCACGAACCTGATTCTCTGCTTCACCCAGCAGAACTAACCCAGCAGAACTCACCCAGCACAACTCATCCAGCAGAACTCACCCAGCAGAACTCACCCAGCA